TAATACATGTACAACATATGATAAAAACATGATTCCATGACAAAGGTTTAGCATACTTTTACTTGCTTGTTTTGTTTGTTTGCTTTTTGGGGTGGGGATGGTGGTTTAAAGCTCATTGGGAAGGCTATGCTGAAGTTTGTGCAATTTTGATTTCTTTACTAAGAAAGCTGAGCTCCAAATTACTGACTGACATTTACGTTGAGTGATTTTACCCATATTTGTAGAAAATAATTGTTGTATTCGACCGTTTTTTTTAAATTTGCTGTATATAACTGTACATTTTGTAAGATGTTCCATAATTGACCTGTTTGCTGTTGCACCTTTTCTTCATATGTAATTGGGACTTAATTACTTAACTCTTTCATTGTTTCCCTCTTTTTAGAGGAAAAGAGCAATCTTGGATTCTACATGCTCCCAGTCTTGTTCCGAGGAAGGAAAGATTCCAAGAGAGGAACGTACACCACTGCAGAAACATTGTCGTCCTTCATTGACGTTCAACCAGTAAGTATATGTGCTGGGGAGGTGGTAAAGTAATGACATGTAAGGCATATATTTTGGTTTGCGTTTAAAATCTTGCCATAGTAATCATATTTCATTACAAACAAATTCAATAGTTAATTTGTTAAGAGTTTCAAACCTAGGACAACTGATGAAATTGAGGTTGAAATGCAATACCTATGTTCTTACCAGATAAGGCATTGCCATAACATTTTATTTGTGTAAAACTTGAAAAGCAACCATTTTCAAGTTCCTAGTAATGGGCACGCTGGTCCCCAAGGAGGCCCTGCAGGGGCAACACTAGGCGCTTTAATCTTAATAAGTCAGTTCGTCATTATCTGTGGTACAACTACAAATGGCCTCAGATTTGTCATCACATCGCATTTCACTCATGAATGCAAGCAAGTCCTTTAACCTGCAAATGACATGTGAAAAATGCATGCTTATATTAACAGGCTGTATATGCCTTCCAGCTTAGTTGATGTAATGCTCTGAACGTGACCAGTTTGGGTACAGTTGACCTTTGCCGCAGGGATATTTAAGAATACCCAGTAATGTTTTGATGGGACAGGGATGAACATGCATAAACAAATTTGGGTGTCCTGTAGGTGATTGTGGATTCATAAGCAGAAGCATTCGACAAGCATCAAATATATATATATATCAATCCATATAATTACAAATGATTTCTTCTTGATTTCTCTTTGGACTACAGGAGGTTCTCGACATCCAGACTTATGTTGATAACATTGATGAAGCAGTCAGGTCACAGCCATTTGTTGTTGTGCGTGGGAACATTCTCACACCAATACAGACGTACGTCGTAGTAGAGAGGAGGATACTTCCTGCCGCAACACTGCTTAAAGCAGTCGACTTGTGCTTTAAGGCACTTTATGTGATGGATATCGAATATCAGCCGCAAAGCTGTTCTGTTTGGAAATTTCTCCAGATTGTGGTGTTCCAGTTTACCGATGGGGAGCATCTTACACCAAAGCTGCGGGAGGTCCGAGCCTTCATGAACATGCCATAAGCCATCATGATGTGTTCACGCCAAGGATGATTACTGGTGATATATTTCCTACAGATGAAACTGACACATCATCGTTTAGCACATTTTGGCTACTTGAACCAGTTTATTTTGGGAGAAAAAAAACTGGAAAAAAGTATTATTTTGGACAAAATAACCTTAAAGACAAACTGTTATGAGTTGGATTCAGCACATTATTTTACATAATTTATACATGTTTGTGTAAGACTGAAGATTTGAGGGTGGGGTGAGGATCGCTGAATAATATAAAAAAAAGAGTGAATTTATACACAGCAGAAGTCTTTGTGTACATTTTAAAAATGATAAAGGCCTAATTGTTTTATCCCAATCATTGCTTAACATCCCCACCTTGAAAGTTTAAGAAAACAAATGAATATATGCCAAGTATAAATACAAAACATATTATTGGCTATAAATCTTTTGCACTGGCGTATACAAATGCTTATCGTGTTTGGTTTTAATCCCAAGAGTACTGTTTCATAACTCGTACATCAAAATGATATATTTCTTCATAAAACATGAGCTATGATATTTTCTGCGTTTAAAACAGCAAGTGGGGTATATGATTGTAAATTACATATACCATTAATTTTCATGTAATGTGTATCGTCCATTGACCCTACGCTGAACTCTCTGCTGAATGGACTGCATGCATTAATTTACATCGCGCAAAGCAGAAGTAGAGAAGTCAACATTTTCATCTACATTTTGCAAAATTGTATTGATATTATTGATAATATCAATAAAATCAATCAAACTGAGTATAGCAGGTAGGGTCAATTGATTTTTGTTGTCTTTAATCTAATCAAAAAGTTATAGTAGGCAGTGTGTATCCTTGTTATTTGATCAGTACCTGTTCACCATCACAGATAGCCAAACTTTCATGTGGTACTTCTGCACATGTCAAATAATCTAGAGGGATTTGAATTTATTTCCTCTTTTGTTTTCACTTCAAAAAAATGTGTGCATGTGTAACACTCTAAGGCAGAGTATTGGTGTGTCAGGATAAATGAACACTATGCCACACCCACAAAATATATATGATGCACATATTCATGTATGAAATCAGAGTACATGGGATACATACAGTGTACATCAAAGTTGTCATGCTGCACCAAAAGGGGCTATATTTGCATTTACTTTTTTTAAAAGATTGTATTTTTTTCACCAAAAATTGTAATGTTGTAGTTGATGTTAACAAGTTTTGTTTTTACGTTTCTGATGAAAACAACAACATGTGTTTACTGTGTATGTTATTTGTGTTTCAGTTAAGCAATTATTACCCTTTAGATGAGAAAAAGAGTTGAGCAAATAGATGTTATGGAAAAAATGTTGAGCAATGATTATCCAACAGACGAATTAAAGAGTTGGGCAAATGGATATTGTGGAGAAATAGTTGAGCAATTATTACCCAATAGATGGTTGTTTTGATAGTTGGGCAAATGGATATTGTGGAGAAATAGTTGAGCAATTATTACCCAATAGATGGGTGTTTTGATAGTTGGGCAAATGGATATTGTGGAGAAATAGTTGAGCAATTATTACCCAATAGATGGGTGTTTTGAGAGTTGGGCAAATGGATATTGCGGAGAAATTGTTGAGCAATTATTATCCAATAGATGGTTGTTTTGAGAGTTGGGCAAATGGATATTGCGGAGAAATTGTTGAGCAATTATTACCCAATAGATGGGTGTTTTGAGAGTTGGGCAACTGGATATTGCGAAGAAATTGTTGAGCAATTATTACCCAATAGATGGGTGTTTTGAGAGTTGGGCAAATGGATATTGTGGAGAAATAGTTGAGCAATTATTACCCAATAGATGGGTGTTTTGATAGTTGGGCAAATGGATATTGTGGAGAAATAGTTGAGCAATTATTACCCAATAGATGGGTGTTTTGATAGTTGGGCAAATGGATATTGTGGAGAAATTGTTGAGCAATTATTACTCAATAGATGGGTGTTTTGAGAGTTGGGCAAATGGATGTTGCAGAGAAATTGTTGAGCAATTATTACCCAATAGATGGGTGTTTTGATAGTTGGGCAAACTGGGAGTTGGGTAAAAACTGGTTGGGCATTTAATTAACCAACATTAAACTTACTCAAAAGTTGGGCAAATAGAAGGTTGGGCAATATCTAACTGGGTAAAATTGGTTGGGCAAGAAATTACCCAACTGAAAATATAACCAACTGTTAGGCAATTGTAGAGTTGGGTAAAATATGATGGGTCACCAACTGATGGGCAATTTAATTTGCCCAACCACATAGCAAACTGATTACCCAACATCAGTTGGGCAGATTTTAACCAATAGTTGTGTGGACCGTATGTTGCTCAGTGTTGGTTAAAAGTTGGGCATTTTTTTGCCCAACTATTTTAAGTGTGTACGGAACTTTAATTTTGCCATATTTGCACTATGGTGTGCTATAGCTTGGGGCAACTCGTTCAAATCTCAAATGGATAAATTACTACTGGTACAGAAAAGAGTAATACGAATTGTTTGTAATACACACTATCTTGCGCATACAGATGTTCTTTTTTATAATAGTAGTGTTCTGAAAGTTGAAGATATTTATCATTTACAACTAGGAGCTCTAATGTATGAATTGAATGCAGGTCTACTGCCAGTAGCCTTGGCTAGAATATTTAAGAAAAATAACCAAGTTCATAGTTATTCCACACGTCAGGCGCAAGCATATCACTTGCCTCTTGTTAGAACGCAATTTGCCCTTACTACTGTGGGGTCCACTGGACCTAGGTTTTGGAATTCCCTTGAACCAAGAATAGCGCAATCAGTCAGTATTTATGTATTTAAGCGCAAACTGAAGTTACTATATTTGAGTCGATATCGTCTAGATTTATAGTTGTGATCAATATTTAAGAAAATTAATTACTATATAGGTCAGCATAATTCTACTCCCATCTCTCACATCTATTCATCTGTCTGTCTTGTTTTTGTCTGTGTTTCAGTCCTGTTGCTCGTTGTATTTTCCTGTTTCTTTTGTTTATAGCCATTATTTAGTAGTCAGTAGATTTTATTTTATTATACTTATTTATGTTTATATTTTATCAGTTGTTTAGTTAGTTTAGTTTGTCAGCACTTAAATGTATACATTATTCTTATCTGACGAGTTTGTTCTTTTATTCATAAGCTACTCATGAGGGACCTTAAATCCACAAGCCTTGCTTTCAACCAAGGTCACCTCATCTTTCTTTTGTAACGCCATATTCTGTAAACTTGTTATATTCATGTCATATTTGTAAAGTCTGTTATGAAAGAAGATAAATAAAACTTGAAACTTGAAACTTGAAGTGCGTATAATCCATGTACATGCAGCTGTATTACACACGACACCTCATCCTACCTAAGGCCTAAACTAAAGTCAAACTTTATCAATGGCAATGCCATAGTATTTAACCTGTTTTCCCTTCAAATCTCTACAAAAAAATCATTTCTTCACCTTCTTTCATATAGAATATGTAGGAAGGGCCATGAAACCTTCATGTAGCCTTACCTTCAAGTAACCTCCAGCTCCCCTTCTCAACTTGGCAGCTGTCCTAATGCATGATACACATTGGTCGAGCATTGAAGAACGGCCGACACTGCTGGCAGCCGCTGCCGAGCCTGGCCAGGCTGACGTGATGTGACCTCGTACTTAGGTAAATATGCAAGAACGTGTGTGTATTTTTCATGTGGAAATTCTTAAATACCAAATTGTTTTTTGCTATCAGTCTACCATGGTAAGACATGGCTGTCAACCCTCCCACATTTGGTTGGAGTCTCGCCACGGCACTGATTCTCCTGCCGTTCCAACAACGTCATGGTTGGAGACTCTCGCCACCATGCCTTTCCTCCCGCTCTCCCTCCGAGTTTAAAAAAGCCAAGCGTCCCGCTTTGTGTTAAAACCACACTTCAAACATGAACATTTTGTAGCATACTACAAATAAAGCTAAAATTGAAAAGGCTTCTTCTTTTTTGGTGCTTGTCACAAACTTTTGGAGTTATTAATATTAGTAAGCGTTGATGACCTTCTTTTTATGCTCATCAGAAAACTTTTCCCGCCAAGCCTCCTGCCAAAGATATGCGATAAGTTCACAATTGTGTCAAAGACAAAGCTTGAATAGTAATTTTTTTTAAAGTGGGTTACTGTACTAATCTACATTTAAATTTTTATTTTCTCTTAATTTATGTTGTCAGAAACTATATTAAATCTGTTGATCTATTTTTATGTTATGTTTCCTTTGAACTCTCTGATATCAAAGTTATTGAAGGTATGACTCATTACTTGACCAACACTTGCATGTATTCATATGTAATTTTCAATATTTGCTGAAAATACTTTTCCTTTCTTTCATTCAGTGTTGAAGCTGTCTGGTCATTCCCTCAGAGCAATCACAGATTCTACATCCCACCATGGCTCTGTGGAGTGTTCACCAACCCTAGTGCGCAAGCAGATTTATCTTCATGCCACTAGGTACGATGTACTGTTATGTAATATAGGCATTTGGTCATCAATAAATAATAATTGGTTCCTCTTGGTTGAAGTTTTCTATCTTTAAAAAAATGATTTGATGGTTTTATGATCACACAAAATTATAATCAGGACCTTTCTTAGTCCGGTGCTCTGCAGGGATAATGTGGCACCGGTGCTGGGTTGAGCAAACTATACTAGGACCAAGCACTAGACTTGTAATAATTTCATACATGTTAACTCTCATTATTCACTTACAATATTTTTCCTTTCTTCCATTCAGTGTTTAAGCTGTCTGGTCATTCCCTCAGAGTGATCACAGATTCTACATCCCACCATGGCTCTGTGGAGTGTTCACCAACCCTAGTGCCCAAGCAGATTTGTCTTCATGCAACTAGGTAAGATATGTACTGTTAAGTAGAGTAGGCATTTTTTCATCACCATGAAGTCATCAAAGGCAATGTTCCTTGGTGATGTCAAATCATTCTGAGAAACAACATGTACCATTTGTTTTTAAATTTCTCTCACAGTGCCTGGTGACACTAGTCTTTTTCAATCCAGTGTCTAATTATCAAGATAAATGAGAGTCTTGTTTTATTAAACATGTAAGAAGTACTCATCAGGAGCTTTAGATCTTAATATTCCTAAAGTAATTTTTTGTTCACTCTGATGAATGTGGAAACAATGATTTCCAGATCTTAATACTTTGCTTTTGCTGAACTTGACCTCATTGTACACTGAAACACCCCCAATTTTTCACGAAAAGGGTATTTTTTGGTTAAATCCTCATTGTATTTTTCAACATTACAATTCGCATTTAAATTCTTCTTCAAATATCTGCCTCTTTTTCCTTCTTAGAATTAGACAAAGAAAAATCAAATTATCTACCAAAAATTCTGTGATAGAATTATTTATTTAAAAATTAGAAAAGGTAGATTTTTTTTTCTCGCTTGCTCTTTTTTTTTTTTTTTTTTTTTTAAATCATGCACCATATCCAAAACTTTAACTCCGTTATTCCCCCTCCTATTGTTTTGGCTCATTACGCCACTGCTGAAAAACACAATGTCTTGAAGGTAATTATCATGCATGTAGACCAAATTTGACCCAATTATCATTTATGCCTAACTGAGCTGTGAGATCCATTTCAGGTATTTTTTGAAGTTCTTTCCATAATCTGGCTCTTGATCATATAATACTTTGGTAATGTCTGTTATAGAGTAGTGTATGTAAGTTATGCTGTCTAATGTTAGAGTATTATAACCATATGAATGTGAAATATAAATCATGTTAAATTTCTCTTTTTTTTTCTTTATTTGCTGTAATATAATTGAATTTCAATTCATTAATTGTTTTTCTATTTTATTGCAGAATGGCGCTCCCTTAAAGATGTCAGCATTGGCTACCAGTGTTCTTCAGTTTGGATGGTGATTTCATAGTGAAGGAGTCAGGAAGCCCGAAAGTAGTGTAAAACTAGCACTCTGGTTACAATATGGTACACACGATAGGGTTAACTTGTACTTAATACATTAATTCCTGGTGTTCCAGAGAATTGTGCTTTCAATGCTTAGACAATTTAAAGTATTTGTTTTAGAAGTTGTGAATAAGTGAAAAGTTCAGATAATTGGCAATAGACCTGTTTCCTTACATATTCAAATTTGTATGCATACTTTTTTAATTACATTTGATGTTGCATAGTACAACATTACATGTATCATTGCAAACATTACCTGCATATTTTGTGCCTATTTTCGACCTGGTTAGTCTATATCATACATGCATCTTCATCATTATTATGCAAGTTATGAACTCCATGTAGATTTTCACATTTCACTTGTTTCCAATAATGTTCATTCATGTTCACATTTGAACAATTGCGTGTTATTGGCGCATGATTGAACCAAAGATGACAGTAAACGTAAAGTAATGGCTTTCAAAACAGATTGTTTTATTATTCATTCAAAGCTTTATATTTATTGAAGAAGTATTAGATGTACAATGAAAAGTATGTGAGACATGGATATAAGTATTTATTTGAGTCTTTCGTTTTTGTATACATGTTAAGTTAAGTATACAAGTACATTTAACACACAAATATACAGTGTTATTGCATTGAAGAAAAAAAAGAAGCATTCCTGTTTTGTATGCAAGTTACATAATGGAAGTATCTTGCCTGTTGTATCTGAAGTGAAGTGGCAATTATAATATGCAGATTGAGAATCGTTTTTAAAATGAAATTGCTGTTTTGTGTTATTCATTGGTCGAGTGGTAAATGTTTTGCAGTAAATGATGAAATGATATTCAGAGATATCTATATATAATATAAAGGGTTAATGCTATTGCAATAAATGGTGGCCTACAGTTAGGTATCTATAGCTACCTATATATTTCTTGCATGGTCATTCATTGTTGGGATATTTTTCCTTGACTTCTTCCTACCCGAAGTATTATTATAACCATTATAATGAATAATAATAATAATAACAATCATTATTATAAGTACTATTACTTTTTAATTATCATTATTACCATTATTAATCTCAGCAGCAGCATCATTATAATCATGAAGTATATCTATTATTTTGATATATTACCCAGGGGTGACTATTGGGGGTGGGGGGATCTTCATTTATTTTAAATTGGATGAAGAGTGGCGAATTACGCATAATCCCCCCCCCCCCCTCTTCTGCGGGGAAATACCCTGCTATTCCCCTACAAATAATATTTTATTATTATTAGGATTGTTATTAATATCATTATTACTATTATTATTACATCTACGACTGCTACTACTTTATATACAACTACTACTATTTTAAAGTGGTATTGGTGGAGTACACCTCCTGCTCCTACGATGGACACGGGCTATAGCTAGGCATATATGGGCTCGCGGTGCACTGCTGGTGCAGACGACAATGTACGGGCAATGTACATGTTTGACGCCACGTTATTCCGTCTTATTTACAGTAAAGCTAAGAGGTCGATAATCAGTGTAATTTAGTTTTATTTCCGTAAAATACATTTGTTATTAATGTTGGAGAAATTTGGGGGTTAATTCAAACATTGCAACAATTACAATCTATGCCACGAAATCATGTTGAAAGCCGTTTTTACCAATCAACGCCAACACAAACTAGCGTGTGTGGGACTGTGCTATTGAGCATGACGTCATCACCCGCGATGTAATGTGGGGACGACTCGGTAGATCGGTGCTCGTATTGAAGGTATGAAAATGCATTATGTTGGATCATTACCAGACACATCCGGCCGAATTGGTTTATGAAATTGATATTTCACAGAAATTTTTTTTAATAGTTATTCAATAACATATTCGAATATCGTAATTGTCCACATATTAAAAATGTGTAATTTTAAGCATTATTTCGGATTCTTTTTTTTTTTTTTCATACAAAGTTTCTTGTCCTTTTGCTCCCATTTTTTCTTCGTTATTACAAAAAAAAATGTAATGTCTAGTTTAAATGATTATTCCTCTTTTCAAAAATGTAAAGATCTTTAAGATTCATTGTCATATGCCAAAGTTATGGCAGGTTTGCTGCGACACTTTCCCAGCGGTTTCACGTAAACAACGTGTTTATTCAATAGAAAAGCAAGGTCAAATCAAAACGAAATCGGGAGTTAATTGCACCCGAGCGCACCGCCAGATTATCTTTATTATTATAAACATTGGATCTTCTGTTCAGAGAAAAAAAGGGGTAACTATGTATTTTGTTTTCACGAAATTAAGATTTATTTCAAAATGGATCTAACATGGATCTTTAACTAATTTTTCTCGCGGCAGCCCGGTTGAAAAAAATCTGGCTCCTACAAAACACGTGATGGCACAATGGATGATCATTGGCCTTTAAGGGACTCTGTCGATACAGTGCACAGAAAATGGAGTTTTGGTAATTCAGTTATTGATTTAATCGTAAAGCCCTGTTCCTTAAAGAACTCCGTCGCTGCCTCCTTCCCCCAGGCCGTTCCAAGTCCTAGACTTCCAGGGGTATTACACGACACAGGTAGACAATGAAACAGACTGAAGGTATACAACTCAGAACCTCCTTGACTATCAATGTTGTTTGCTTGCTTCGAGCTTGCATTGATCTCAAGAACAGACATAAGTGCCTCTGGTTTCATTACCTCTTTGACTTCCTTCAAAACCAAATCCGGACGCGCTAAGTCGTGGATGACATTATGGAAGAACACGTAGTCGAAGGTATTGGCCCAGTCCTTAGGCAAGGTCGTTGCATCGATGCAGTGGAACTCAACGTTCGTCAGGTTCTTGACGTTGGCCAAGTCACGAGCTGATTTGACGCTATCCTCTCCGATTTCGATGCCGACGAAGCGACTGCGAGGGTAGTGCTCGGCTAAATTTAGAATACCTGCTCCGTGGCCGCACCCTACATCCAACATACTGATGCCCTTGTCTGGAGGAAACGATAAAGGAAAATAGTAAACATTTGAGCTGTTTTCTTCTGAATTGGGCTTGTTTGTAAGCACTCTAGTACATATCATCTTCTTCCTATTGCTAAAAGGACTGTTCATTTTTAAAATGCAACGTCATCAACAAAATTACTTTCACTACATGAATTTGGAAATATGAGATACGCCTAAGTCAGGATTAATCATTTCATTTTCATTTCATTTATTTCATTCTCCATAAAAACATCAAAACATACAAACATGGTATACAGATAAAAGATCGATTACAAGAAAAATACAAAGGGAAGGAGCAAACAAAATTTTATGTGAATGTGGGGTAAACAAAAAGGGCAATCAGCCTTATCAACGTCAACCCCTTAAAAAGTATACATTGTACTGTTGAGAAAAGAAAAAAGGAAAAGGAAGCCGAGAGAATCTAAACACCAATACAAAAGAAGAAAACAACAAAAGGAAGAAGGGAAGGGGAGGGGGAATACATTAAAAAGTGCATTAACTGAAACGTAACGTCATTTATTTTGAGATTGAATACAATAATAAAAGATGGGATTTATACATTCGTTTAAAAATATTCAGTGATGTAGAGTTTTTTAATATTAAATGGGATATTTTTCCACAAAACTGGCCCTTTGGAAAAAACTGTATTTTTTTAAACATTTGTACGGATTTTAGGAAAATGAAAATTACCAGCATTACGGGTTTCATAAGAATTAATGCATTTCATAATTGAAAGTAAATTTATATGACATGGACCTTGGCAATAATCCCTTAAAACACATAAACATAAATATAGCAATATTAACATTATTTATATCATAAACATTTAGAAGCTTTAATTGTTAAAAAAAAGTGGCAAAGTGTGGGCATTGAACGGGGCATCGTAAAGTAATCAAACAGCCTTCTTTTGTAATTTAAATAATTTCGTCATAAAATAATCAGAACCATTTGACCATGTAATATTACAATAATTAATGTGTGGAATTATCAAAGCATAATATAACATAATCAAAATATATCGTGGGAAGTGTCTTAATCGATAAATAATACCAACTCCCTTAGCAATTCTATTACATATGACACCAATGTGCTCATGCCATGTCAATTTATCATCGATGTAAACACCGAGAAATTTAGTGAAAGAAACACAATTTATAGCTTGTCCATTAAAATGAATAATCAAATTATCATCTTCAACTTTTCTCTTTGTAAATAACATGAATTGAGTCATATCAATATTTATAACCAATTTATTATTTAACAACCAATCATTCTATTTATGTAATTCGACAGTAAATGTATCTAATAACATGTTCAGATTACTTCCAGACATGAACACACTGGTGTCATCTGCAAAAAGAATAAATTGTAAGAGTTTAGAACAAGTAATGATATCGTTCATATAAACCAAGAAAAGTAAAGGAAAAAAATGGACCCTTGGGGCATTCCGCATCGAATTAGCTTATTTGAAGATTTATGATTATTGATAATTACAAACTGAGACCGGTCTAACAAATAACTCTTAAATAATAATAATACATTTCCACGAATTCCATAATCTTCCAATTTGCTCAACAAAATATAATGATCTAATGTATCGAAGGCTTTGCTCCAATCGAGAAACAATCCAACCATGTATTCTTTAGAATCGATACAAGCTTTGAGAATAAATTCAAGAAGCGCCATCGATGCGGAGTGTCCCGAGCGGAAACCATATTGATTATCAGACAGAATATTACATGAAAATAGAAAATCATTCAAACGTTTGTATAAGCACTTCTCAAAAATCTTTGAAAATAAAGGTAAAACAGATATTGGGCGGTAATTTTTGGCATAACTAACATCACCTGCTTTAAAAACTGGGATTACTTTTGCTAGTTCTAATTGAGTAGGGAATACACCATATGAAATACAAGAATTAAATATAGATTGCACTTCCCTAAACCCAGCCATCTAAACCCCCTACCCCTCCCCCCCCCACACACACACACACACACACACACACACACACACACCCACACACATACTCAGACAAAATAGTGTTTATTTATTGGAGTTTATGATACTCAATATAAAATTCATCTTTGGATAGTATATTAAACATTTTCGTTCTGATGCCATTAGGGACAATGGCTATAGGAAATATAGGGAATTGGTTATTACTCCCAACCCCCCAACCCCTGCCTCCCTCCCCCAAAAGCGTAGGTGTGACTGTATCGAATATTTTGTCCCCAATATTTCAGTAAAAAAAATTAAAATTCGTATGCGGCACTCCGTGGAAATATAGACATGCCACCAAATTGAATATTCTAACAAATTGACTGTACTCTATTCGAGTAACAAAATCGTTCTTTGTGGAGAGCTTTCATTAAAGTATTTAGAGGCAAACAATGATTTCCAGTATTACCTAGTTTTGTGTGAAGCGAAGGAATCGATGGGATGAACTCTTGACGAAACTCATTCTCGTACCACAGTCGTGAGAAGTCATCTTCAAACTCAGTGAAAGACTTGGCCTTGGAAAATGGAAGACCTAATAATTGAATAATTCAAATTAACAGTCTTAGTATAGGACTACTTCATTTCTATTTGAAGACAACGTGTATTTTGAGAAGTAAAAACTAAAATCCAAATCCTTTAATTTGTGGATTTGTCGACGAAGGTAAGACGCACGGGGCGCCATTCCACTGTGCTAACATGTTGTTGCATTTCAGAAGATTGCATGCCACAGTAAACGACGAACAAACTTGATGGCCCGAATTCACAAAGGAGGTTTGTCGACAAACCGAGGTTTATGTACGTCATATGACGCGTTTTGACGCGTTTTTTACAAACCTGGTTTGTAAAAAGACAAAAGGAGGTTTGTCGAAACAAAAGGAGGTTTGTCGACAAACGTAGGTTTGTCGACAAACCTCTTTTGTGAATTCGGGCCGATGAGTCGCGCCAACAGTTTTACACATACCAAATGCAAAACGCGACAAACCAAATTGTTTGCTAAAAGGCGTAATTTCAACTGCCAATGTATCTCGGCACATGAGTGCACTATAATGACTTATAAATGCAGTATCTCGGTGCAGACGCAATTGCTTGACGCAGCTTGATGGTACGTCTCGCGCATTGATTCAGATTGTTCCGAAAATCGGTGTGGAATGAACACCAGCTTAAAAAAATTACTATTATTGATAATGATTTCTGTCATTGGTTTGATTTCTCATGAACAGCCTACCATATTTAAAGCTCAATCGCATGCATGCAATCTGCATTGTACTACGTTTCTCTTGGGAAATTTGCAGTGAAAAGAAGCCTGGCGTGTACCCGGCAACCTGGCATGAATGAGCCAGTGTTCTGTCAACAACGATTTTTTTTCCCCCGGACAAAAGCCAAAATATTGCTGTCTGTGCTTCACTGTGTCTGACCAGATCAGCCGGAAAGTTAAGGGTGTTATCAGTGTAAATAAAATGATGCAAGACGTTTCGTTTTCAGCCCTAAGAGCTCCCGCATATGCTTTAATTCTGACAAATTTTTCACGAGGTTTTTGAGTCCAACAGTTGACGAGAACTTGTCGGTATCGCAGTTCTTCTGACAGAGTTGTATATGCAAGGTCTCTTGGGGGATTTTGGTCTCGTGGTTTCTTGGCCGTCGGTCTCCAGCACAACCAACGACCATGGTCGCAATGACCCATTTTTTCTTCTTCAAAAAAGTCTTTATTCATTTTTTCTCAAAGCATAAAACAATAAGGGAGTTTACAGATACAATCTGCGCATGGGCAGATAAAGGTCATTTGTACCAAAAGGTTCGTTCGTTCGTGTCTCCTTAGATCAAGATAGTAATGTAAAGTTCCTTAACTTAGAAGTAAATTAAATTAAATTAAGTTCTTCCATCGCTCGATTGCTGCAATGGCCGTTTCATTAACAAGGGACAGGTCTTCATCTGTGCAACCCGTTCCGCCGCACTGCAAGAGGTGGTCCATCGTCTGAGTCTCTCCGCAGTCGCAGAGAGTATCTCCTTCATGGGCATAGCCCCATCTTGCCATATTGACCTTACACCGTCCCATTCTCGTCCGCATTCGATTTAGGCATTGCCACTCCGGCCACTTCAGGTTAAGACCTTTGATGAGTACGGGCTTGACTGATGGTGGAGGATTCTGTTCAGGTGGTGGGACAGAATCGAGGAAGCTGTGTCGGGATATAAGTCGTTTGTGGGGTTGTAAGTATCCGTGTAGCATGTGTCTGTCATCTGTCGCCTGCTTCATCCGTTCCTTTAGGCAGGTGTTAGTGCGCCTTTGGTTAGGAGATCCAATGCCAGCGAGGTGATATATCTCCTCAACTTTTGTTGGTTTCAGACATCCTGTTATCTTTCGATATGTGTTATTGAGTGTGGTGTCAAGCTTCTTCACATGGGCTGATCTGCTCCAAACTGGGCAAGCATATTCTGCGGATGACATGCATAGAGCAACAGCTGCACTTTGTACAGTTTTGGGGTCAGCGCCATAGTGTGAAGATACTAGCTTCCCGATGATGGCATTTCGAGATTCTACTTTGCCTATTGTCTTCTCGATATGTTTCTTGAAGGATAAAGTGCGGTCAAGTTTTACACCTAAATACACTGGATGCTCGCAGTGGTTAAGTTGCACATTGTTCCACTTTAGCTTCAGTTCTCTCTTTGCCTCCCTGTTCTTCAAGTGGAAAACACACACCTGAGTCTTGGATGGGTTTGCCCGTAGGTAGTTTGCTCTGTAGTACTCCGAAAGGCTTGCGAGCGCTGTGTTGAGATGGAGTTCAACAGCTTCGAAGGTACTATGCTGGGCTGTGATGCAGGTGTCATCTGCATAGATGAAGTTTCGAGTGTTCTCTGTTGAAGGGATGTCAGCAGTGTATATGTTGTAGAGTGTTGGCGCCAGGACGCCACCCTGGGGGAGACCGTTTTTCTGTTTCCGCCATCTGCTCTTCTGCCCATCCAGTTCGACAAAGAAGCGTCTGTTCTGCATCATCTTCTGAATGAATCTGGTGAGTTTGAGGTCATTTGTGATGTCATGAAGTTTTGTCTGTAGCCTTCGGTGATTGACAGTGTCATAAGCCGCAGATAAATCCAAAAGGTAAAACCCACAGAGATGAATACTGGATATGCGCTCATGAAAGTTATGTAACATTATTCATTTATGCACCAACGGTACATTCTATGATACGCAGGTCGAAGTATTCTTTTCAAGAGGGCAAACAAAAGGTATTCATGAAGCACATCTAGGACTTTGGTAGTTATTATTCTAATATGCTAAAAGTGGAACTTCTCCATGTGTAAAAGATCTGTGGATATTTGGGGTCATTTGTACCATGTGCTATCGGTAAACTCCCTTATATAGGCAAACCTATCTTGTTGCTCATAGATTGTTTGTTCAACTTTGAATGTGTTTTTTAACAGATATATGGCGCCATACAAATGCTGTGAATCATTATCATCATCATTAACTTCATATTGATATTTCAATTTCTTTTGAAAACATGAAAATGATAAAGATCCCTTCAGACATCTAGTTGACAATAACTAATATGATGTATACATGTATACAGGGGCGTACGCAGGATTTTTTCAAGGGGGGGGGGTTTAAAATATTTTGCTCCCGAAAATTTGAAAATCGCGCCGGCCGAAAAGTCGCTCAGTTGGGGGGGGGGGGGGGGGGGTAAGCGGACACTTTTTTAATTTGACATTTTTCTTCGTTGAGGGGGGGGGGGTAAGGTCACCTTATTTAGGTTAGCCGTGGGTATAATTTATTATTTTTTTTTTTTTAATAATAAAAAATAGCAATTCAAGGAATTTATTCCTGCCAGGTATCCATTTACATCACCTGGGTTGAATGTGGCAAATGTAGATCAATGTCTTTCCAAAGGACATTAGTGCCGCGGCGGGGTTCGAACCGCGGACCTTGTGATGGTGACGTATCCACTCAACCACGAAACCTCCATGATGAACTTACCTAATGGACCTTCCTTCTTGACCACCTCCCGCATATCGTTGAAGACCTCACTGAGGAAGGGCACCGCCTTGGTAGCTAGGACGAGATGGTTCTGAGGGGTGCCTTTTTTGAAGACATCGAGGAGTTGAGCTGGGATGTGGTAACGTTCCGTTACGGGGTCGAGATGGACGATGCGTGCTCCTGCCACCGCTCCTAGCCATTCACGGACGTACCTTTAAAGTCATCAAGATCGGGCGGTGAGAGTTGAATAAGGTAAATGGAGGGGAAAATAAGAGGTAGGGAGGGAATTAAGACGGCGAAGAGGGTAAGGAGAAAAGAGTGGGGGAAGAGGGAGATGGGAGAACGTGTGAGAGGACCGAGAGAGAGAGAGAGGGAGAGAGAGAGAGAGAGGGAGAGAGAGAGAGAGAGAGAGAGAGAGAGAGGGGGATGGTGGTGGACATGGGACGAATGTAAAAAAAACGTATTTAAAATTAGAACGGCGCCCCTGGAAATAACGACAAATGGGAGCGGGACCTATTCTTGCATGAACTTGATGAACGAAACTTCTATATGGAGCTAGAAATGAAAATGTGTTTCTGATGGATAGTTCCCCGAGGTGGTATGTGTTTGTTGAACGTTCCTATAATCGAAGAGCAATACATTAACGAAAGTATCATCTTGGTAATCATATTTCATTACAATATTCTATGATTGATTGATTGATAATTGATCCGTTGACTTCTATGTCATCTTTTCAAACATATGAATTAATGTAGGATTTGTGATTGATTCATTTACATTTGATACATTTTTCCAATACAGCTTATGATTGCAGACACCAATGTACACTGATGAATGGGGAATGTTTGATTTGGGTCACAAGCGAACCCTATTAACATCTTGACATTGATGAACCTACCTTTCTTTAAAACCTCCTGCATCTGCCAATTCTTGTGATGTCATCGGTGTGTGATGGTGCTCGACGAGGATGTCGAAAAGACCTGTTTTGACCCCGAAGGCGATGGAGAGCGACGTCAATCCACCCTCTACGATTCCGGAGAGGCGATTGGAAAACTGTCCCGCAGTCTCCTCTTCTCCGAACTTTGCCATTTTTTCAAAAGAATTCCTTCATAAACAGATACACATAAATATCATGGTAAAAGCAGGCCTACAGAGAAAGATTAAAATCCAAGAATTTATGCAGAGATCTAGGAGGGCGATCATGATAGAAGGTTCCATACTCGGTACTTCACCATCTATTCGGCCAAAAGTAGGTGTCGTGGTCGAGTGGATATGTCACCGGACTGTGGATCACAAGGTCAAGTCCCGCCGCGGCACTAATGTCCTTTGGCAAGACATTGATCTACGTTTGCCACTCTCCACCCAGGTGTTGGGTACCCGGTAGGATGCGAAAGTTAATGTGGTTGGATTAGCCACATGGGGACTGGCTGGAATGCTCCCCATGGAGTGGAAAATGTGCATACATTTTGTTGCGGTTAAGCCTGAATCCGATGACCGGGGTAATAATATGTGCTGCGCCTAGAAACAAAGTATTAGGCGCATTATTAATGTGAGCTATTATTATTATTACTTTGACAAAGGAAAAGCCTCGAGGTTTCTGCATCTTCAAACAATCGCCATCTTTAAAGCAGAATTGAATGCACTTGGACCGTCTTGTGATGGTCACGGTTAAGGAAAAAGAAGAAAACAGCTATGATATGCATTATGCTACGTGTATAAACCACTATTATTATAATATCCTTCCCATTTGGCAGCTCCAACTGAATCATTAAGTGCCAACCAAAACGCCTGGTAATGTAGCAAAATAATGACCAGGCGATTACTTCTACTTCATCCTACATCAATTTTGAACGCGCCTAATTCGGTCCGTTTGAAATATGAAGCGACCGCGATTCGAACTTAAGTTCACATGTAAAAAAAAAGAAAGATGCTAGGTTTTTCTAGTTTTTTACCGACCCAGTGTGTTAAATTCTATCCTGGGGGTGGGGGGGGGGGGGGGGTACTCACATGATAATCAAACGGGGATGTGACGCTCTTACGGGTCGCTTTTTCATAGCAAAAATACCTAAATATGGGTCTCGTTTTTTTACAAAAATATCACTGAAGATGAGTCCGTTTTTCCAAATTTTCGGGTGTTTGAACGGATCCACCCGGAAGTTGTTGATTGGCCTTTATTTCGGAAAAAATCGTTAAAATGAACCCTTATAAATAAGTGGGGGTTTCGAGGCTAAGTGAGCTGCACATCCCCGTCCAATAATGAGTATGCCATTTTAGGCAACATTACCCCCCCCCCCCCCCTCTTCTCTCTCTCTCGCTCTCTTTATCTCTCTCTCTCTCTCTCTCTTTATGTCTCTCTCCCTCTGTCATGATTCACTTCTTCTGGCATTTCTCAATTACTGTCATGTGACAGCTGTACGTCTCTTGTCGATCATCAATGTGCAGTTTGGTGTCATAAGAGCGATTTATTCTTCTAGCTGAAAGATATCTGGGCCACGTTAATTGCATAAAATGACAGCGGTGCATGGCGCGTTTGTCGTCGATCACCAAAACAGGCAGTATCATGACTTATGAATCATACTATGCACTGCATACAGTCATGTACAGTATATCTACAAAGGATTTTTGAAACAGATTAGCAATTTTGTGGCCACGTTATTATCAATGGCGTACGTACAGAGTTCCGATCCAACCCGGAAAACTATGTACTAAATCATTTCAATGTGTTATATATGGTTTAGAGTGGCAGTGCGCCCTCTTGTGTTATGTACTGACTTGACAACCAGAATGAAGATTACTAGAATAAAGCACTAACCAGTTGAAGTTGTAAACTCTAAACAGACTTTATTGCCTATTATGTAGAGACAAACCAAAGCTTAAAACATGGTGTCAGAAGTGTAGTGACCATGGACTCGTTCCTGAAATCGGCGTACAGCCAGGAAGAATAATTTACAGAGTCGAACTGTTCACGTTCCGAGCAAGTTTGCAGCAACCGAGTACACGCAAGTCGTCGTACAGTGGACAGATTAGCGAATGGTTCGTAGCATAGCATCCATAAACGCGACGTCGTTGAGCAGCGGTGAATATGACTGATGAACATTGTCGCAATAGACTTGACTCGTCAGTTGATGTAATGTGAACTATCAATAATAATAACGATGTTTAGTTATTTGGTTGTTTTACGTGTGCATTGTTTGGAATGAAATGGTGTGGATTTATGGAAAGAGTGCATTAATATCAGAATTAATACTCGATAAGTCCAATCAGTCTGGTTCATTCAGTGGGTTTAGCAGTATATAGTTTACTCCGTATTAGAATTTGCTGACTTGTTACTGTAAGTATAATTGTATAGGCGGTAGAGATAACCATGTCTAACACTGAGGCAGTACAAGATCCTCCCCAGAGGGGAAGTGAAGAGTCAGAAGGAGTAAATGAAACTGGGACTAACCAGGGTCAGGTCTTGAGTGATAACAATACTGATAATGATAGTGTTAGGACCAGAAATAGGCCGGGCAGTACAAGTAGAACAAATGTGCCACTCCCAAGACCTCTTTCGGTAAAAGGGGATATGAAGAAAAACTGGGGTATTTTCACCCAGATGTGGGACAGTTATGAGGTCATAACTGGGTTAGAACACGAAAGTAATAAAATTCGTGTGGCACATTTCATAACGGCACTAGGAACTGATGCATTGGAGATTCAACAAGGCCTCCCTTTCAGAAATGAGGAGGAAAGAAAGAGTTATAAATGCATAAGAAAACTCTGGTCTGAATATTGTGTCGGGCAAACAAACATTACTTTTGAAAGATATCAGTTCAATAAGTGTGTTCAGAATACTGATGAGTCAGTTGAGAATTATTATGTGAGGTTAAGGTCTCTTGCAAGTACTTGTGAGTTTGGTACTCTAACTGATGACCTCATCAGAGATCGAATCGTTCTAGGGATTAGAGACGATAATACAAGAAAACGTCTTTTGCAAGAGCCAAATCTTACTCTGTCTAGTTGTTTGGATATCTGCAGAGCTATGGAGTCGTCCAAAGCTCAGAGCAAAGCCATGCAGGAACCAGTATCTGCCTATGCAGTGTCCCATAAACCAAAGGTTTGGAAGCATAGTGGGGGTAAGGGCAAGAAGCTAGCTCCTAAATTGATTAATTGTGGTTTCTGTGGTAAGCAGCATGAAAAAGACAAAATAATCAAAATGCCCAGCTTATGGCCAAAAGTGTAAGCTGTGCAAAAGAGAAAATCATTTCGCTGTGAAATGTAGACAGAATAAGAACAAGGCTCACAGAGTAGAGACAATTGAAGAGGATGAAGATTCTGAACAAGAGTGTGTATATGTTTCTCTGATAGGCACAGATGAAGCATTTCAGGTATCTGCTGATAGTAAGAGTCCAAATTATCAGAAAAAGATCATTGCAAAGTTTAGAATCAATGACGAAGACGAGATTGGTATGCAGGTTGATTGTGGAGCGACATGTAATGTTATCCATCTAGAAGATGTTCCATCTGGGACAGAGTTAACTAGTACAAATCAGGTTCTGATTGTGTATGGTCAAGGAACAGTACCAGTTGCAGGGAAATGCAAGTTGCATCTTAGGAATGTAAAGAATAACAAGAGGTACTTAGTTCCATTTGTTGTTGTGAAGGGCGAAGTCACAAGACCACTGTTGGGAGCTAGTACAGGCCAGCAGATGAAGTTGATCAAAGTACAGTATGAAAACATTGAAGTTGTTCATGCAGTAGCTAATGATGATATTCTGATCCCATACAAGGATGTATTTACAGGGTTGGGTAACATGCCAGGAGTAGTTCATTTGACCTTAGAGGCTGAGGCAAAGCCAGTAGTGATGCCCCCTAGAAGGGTCCCTCTTTCAATTAAAGAAGATTTGAAAGAAGAGTTGTGTAGGCTTGAAAAGCTGCAGGTGATTGAGAAGGTAGAAGATCCTAGTGATTGGGTATCTAGTCTTGTAGTAGCTAGGAAACCAAGTGGTAAATTGAGAGTATGCATCGATCCGCAACATCTTAATAGGTCGTTGAAGCGTGAGCATTACCCATTGTCAACGATTGATGATGTCCTACCACAGTTAGCGAATGTGAAAGTTTTCAGCAAGGCCGACTTGAAGGAAGGTTTTCTACAGTGTAAGTTGGACGCAGAATCATCCAAGCTTACAACATTTCAGACACCTTGGGGTAGATATAGGTTTCTTCGCTTACCCTTTGGTCTATCACCTTCGCCTGAGCTCTTCCAGAAGCGCCTAGATCAGTGCCTTGAAGGCCTACCAGGAGTATTCGTCATAGCAGATGACATTCTCATAACTGGACAGGGTGAGACACATGCAGAGGCCTGCATAGACCATGATCGTAACATGACTAGTTTCCTTCGCCGATGTCGCGAGCGAGACATCAAGCTGAATTCTAGCAAGCTTGAGTACAAATGTAAGGAGGTGCAGTTCATTGGTCACCGACTGACCAAGGAAGGTGTTCGGCCCGATCCTAGCAAAGTCGCAGCTCTCGTTGACATGCCACAGCCAGTAGATATACCTGGAATCCAGCGATTTGTGGGAATGGTTCAATACTTAGCAAAGTTCTTGCCATCATTGTCGGGGCTCAGCGAACCGTTACGTAGGTTGACCCACAAGGACACTCCCTGGAACTGGGGAGAAGAACAGTCTAGAGCGTTCATCGCGATCAAAGGACATGTTACAGAAGCACCGGTTCTCCGATACTTTGATCAGCAGTTGCCGGTAGAGGGTCAAGGTGATGCCTCACAAAAGGGCCTGGGTTTCGTGTTGACTCAGAATGACCAACCGGTGACATACTCAAGTAGAGCGTTGACTGAGGCCGAAACTAGATATTCTCAGATCGAGAAGGAACTTCTTGCGCAAGTTTTCGGACTTGAAAGAAACCATCAGTACGTGTACGGTAGAAAGGTGATCCTTTGGACAGACCACAAACCGCTAGTGACAATAACGCGTAAACCGTTGGCTTCTACACCAAAGAGACTGCAAAGATTACTATTGCGAATGCAACAGTACAATGTAGAGATCTTCTACAAGCCGGGTAGAGAAATGTACCTAGCAGACACCCTGTCGCGAGCATACTTACCGAACTCCGAGCAATCGCCGACAGAGAAAGAAGTTGAAAGCATTCATACATGCATTTCAGGCCGACAAACTAATATACAGGTATTAACTTCTTAAAGAAGGAAGGATGTTATATAATGGTTTAGAGTGGCAGTGCGCCCTCTTGTGTTATGTACTGACTTGACAACCAGAATGAAGATTACTAGAATAAAGCACTAACCAGTTGAAGTTGTAAACTTTAAACAGACTTTATTGCCTATTATGTAGAGTCAAACAAAAGCATAAAACACAATGCATTTCCTATGCGAGTACCATGCATGCAAGTATAAATTATGGAGGGAATGTATAGGCCTACATAGTTGTTGCTATGTGTGACAGCTCTGGCCAGCTTTAGAGCTGTCAAAATAAACTTCTGTTCAAGATGTATATGCATACAATTATAATGAACAACTCTATTACAAATACATTGTACATGTAGTACCAAAATACATGTAATATATAGGCCTATATATTCAATTCAAGTATTACACGCATCAAATTGTACGGTTCGCTGCTCTAGCTGGGTCATAAAGATTTTTTGGGGTGTATACGTTAAGTATTGAACATAATATAGCAATCGCTTACAAAATAAACTATTGATACTTAAAGCCATACTGATGCAAGTTTGAACGCTGAAAACGATTAGATTGATTCAATGTCATATAAGATATGTCTAGAAAAAAAGAAATCTGTAAACATACCAACTGGTTTGCCGATGGACTCATGTGGAACAGTGTTATCATAAACAAGTATACAGATTGAATGCACAGAGAACGGTGTGATACAAGCTTGCACAGAGAACGGTGTGATACAAGCTTGCACAGAGAACGGTGTGATACAAGCTTGCACATAGAACGGTGTGATACAAGCTTGTACAAAGCATGAACAAAGTTCAGACGTTTATGTTGACTATTGTACTGATGGTAAGTAGGATGCATGACGTATCATTTCGGATATATTATACATGTACAAATAAACCCCAAATATCCACGTGATAATCCTGCCTGTTTTGGGGGTGGGGGGGGGGGGGGATACTCACATGATAATCAAACGGGGATGTGACGCTCTTACGGGCCGCTTTTTCATAGCAAAAATACCTAAATATGGGTCTCGTTTTTTTACAAAAATGTCACTGAAGATGAGTCCGTTTTTCCAAATTTTCGGGTGTTTGAACGCGGATCCACCCGGAAGTTGTTGATTGGCCTTTATTTCGAGAAAAATCGTTAAAAATGCACCCTTATAAATAAGTGGGGGTTTCGAGGCTAATCCAGGGGGGGGGGGGGGGGGGGCCGGGGGGCCCCCCCCCCCCCCCTTGAGAAAAAAAATCATGGAAAATCACGCGATTTGTACCTTTTTTGGGGGTTGGCCCCCCCCCCCCCCCTGGCGCTCAAGGGGGGGGGGGTGCCAATTTTAAAATTTTCGAGGACCAAAAAAAAAATTGTGCTCACATTTCACTTTAACAAGTCAGACGATTTGGACACTATGCTCGGCCGATGCTGGGCCGATTTTAACTATTAACGGTAAAGTTGTCATAATCAAATTGGCAATATTTGACGATTTGTGTATTTTGATTCTATTCCTCCGAAACTGATTGTGGATTTAAATATGCCTATTTTGATATATAATTTTTGTTGGTTCAAGTTCAACTAAAGGTCTGTCTTAATAAATACAGCTGAAAAGGCAGGCCTGGGTGTGGTATTTACATTCCAAAGTTCAATCCCTGCATTTGGCAAGGTTATCATGGCTTTCTAAAAATAACCATGATGCACCTCAGAAATACATATCTAAATATAGGAATGACAAAATATGTCCGTTATCTTTGATATCAAAGATAAATTGTTCTCGCAAAGAAATGTTGATGCCTTGATTTACATATTCAGCTATCATAATGGTAACGTAGAACATTATATTGCTATTGAATTGCCTGCATCCTTTATCTTTAGTGTTTTAAATGCGTTTAAAAACTCTACCTTTACCATACAAGTGTATTTTCATCCCGTGTTATGCTTTTTCCTTTAAAAGATAATGCTTCATTCACTCGATGAAAATTGACTCCCTAATTTTAAAGGTATAGACGAGTTTTGGAAATGCCCCCCTCTCAAAAAATGAAATGGAAGCTGTTATTACCAATCATGAGAAAGAACATGTTTTGACTAATACGTGATGATACAAATTTAGTCGGGAAAACGCCTACTAATTGATATATTTGGTAAATTATTATATCTATCCGGACTGGATAGATATCGCGTAGACCCATGAACATTCTATCTGTGTTCAGTGCTTGTAACTTTACCAAGTCTGGGCCAAATTTCTTATCATTTTTATGATTTAAAAAAAAAAAAACCTCATCCTGCTCTCCTTTTTCCATCCTAAGTTCCTCTCTACTTCCCCCTTCCTTTCCTTCTCTTTCTGTATCTTATTCTTTCTTCTTTTCTCTCAATTCCTCTCTCCAGCTTTTCCATATCTACCTTCTCTCTTATACCTAAATTCTCTTTTTCTGCTTACTTCTGACGAGATAAATTTGAAGTTTGAAAGGCAGTGTATCCCTTCTGCCGCCAACATCACATTATGTACTGGAAATTTGCAGGAAGTATGAATATGTCATGCGTGTCCTCTTTGTGAAATGTAAACGTTTGTAGTGTCCTAATATTCAAATTATGCAAGTAAAACCCTTTTATTTTCTAGACTTCAATGTCAGACACTGACTTCTTTTTCTTCTTTGGTAATAACATACAGAAAATGAGCTAAAAAAGATACATGAGCACCAATACTGAGCCCACTAATTTGAACAAAAACTGATCCCTTAATGTGGCCTATAGATCGAGCGCCCACAACAACATGACGCGGCGAGGTTATCATGGCTTTCTAAAAAATAACCATGATGCACCTCAGAAATACATATCTAAATATAGGAATGACAAAATATGTCCGTTATCTTTGATATCAAAGATAAATTGTTCTTGCAAAGAAATGTTGATGCTGTGTATCCTGGAGTGAAATTAGATATTTTTAATTCTTGCGTGTAAAAAATGTTCGAAATGAAGTATTATGGTACAATAGCTAATATAATACTTGACAATACAACATTATATTTTAAAAATTGCTTTCAAATTATGCAAGGAAAACCCATTTATTTTCTAGACTTCAATGTCAGACACTGACTTCTTTTTCTTCTTTGGTAATAACATACAGAAAATGAGCTAAAAAAAGATACATGAGCACCAATACTGAGCCCACTAATTTGAACAAAAACTGATCCCTTAATGTGGCCTATAGATCGAGCGCCCACAACAACATGACGCGGCGAGGTTATCATGGCTTTCTAAAAATAACCATGATGCACCTCAGAAATACATATCTAAATATAGGAATGACAAAATATGTCCGTTATCTTTGATATCAAAGATAAATTGTTCTCGCAAAGAAATGTTGATGCTGTGTATCCTGGAGTGAAATTAGATATTTTTAATTCTTGCGTGTAAAAAATGTTCGAAATGAAGTATTATGGTACAATAGCTAATATAATACTTGACAATATAACATTATATTTTAAAAATTGCTTTACCAAGGGTATTTTCATTATTAACGATACTGTAAAAAATAGACTTTTTTTTATCTCGGAATTAACTTTGAACTCTACTTGGTTCGGAGGGGCGGATCTACGGGGGGGGGGGGGTGTTAGGGGGTAAATAGCATTTTATTCTTGGTATAGACTTAATTGTCCAAATACAAAATATATAAATATAGTAAGTACATACGCACAATACGCAGTATGTAAAATATACATGTTAAATTACTTTCAATGAAAAACGTACAATAGTATTTCGAGATGTCCATTTTTTATAAACGAAAATCACATTGTCTTAAATACTCTTTAACATTTTACACAGTGATTTTTTACTGAAAATAATATTTCCCCTTTTTTTCAATGTAAAGTGAATGTTTATGGATTACGAATTTAAATTCTCTTAACGTTACTGTTGCTGTTGGATGTGTTTATAAATATATATTTTATAAATCCTTTTAATGTTGTTCATGTTGTTGAACTGTGAACTTATTGAATAAAGCCCCTGTGAAGAGGAAAATAATAAAGGAAATATCACCTTGATTTACATATTCAGCAATCATAATGGTAACGTAGAACATTATATTGCTATTGAATTGCCTGCATCCTTTATCTTTAGTGTTTTAAATGCGTTCAAAAACTCTACCTATACCATACAAGTGTATTTCCATCCCGTGTTATGCTTTTTCCTTTAAAAGATAATGCTTCGTTCACTCGATGAAAATTGACTCCCTAATTTTAAAGGTATAGACGAGTTTTGGAAATGCCCCCCTCTCAAAAAATGAAATGGAAGCTGTCATTACCAATCATGAGAAAGAACATGTTTTGACTAATACGTGACGATACAAATTTAGTCGGGAAAACGTCTACTAATTGATATATTTGGTAAATTATTATATCTATCCGGACTGGATAGATATCGCGTAGACCCATGAACATCTTCTGTGTTCAGTGCTTGTAACTTTACCAAGTCTGGGCCAAATTTCTTATCATTTTTATGATTTAAAAAAAAAAAAACCTCATCCTGCTCTCCTTTTTCAATCCTAAGTTCCTCTCTACTTCCCCCTTCCTTTCCTTCTCTTTCTGTATTTTATTCTTTCTTTTCTTCTCTCAATTCCTCTCTCCAGCTTTTCCATATCTACCTTCTCTCTTATACCCCATTTCTCTTTCTCTGCTTACTTCTGATGAGATAAATTTGAAGTTTTAAAGGTAGTGTATCCCTTCTGCAGCCAACATCACATTATGTACTGGAAAGTTGCAGGAATATATCACGCGTGTCCTATTTTGTGAAATGTAAACGTTTGTAGTGTCCTAATATTCAAATTATGCAAGTAAAACCCATTTATTTTCTAGACTTCACTGTCAGACACTATTGAGTTACTGATTGACTGACTTTTCTTCTTTGGTAATAACATACATGAAAAGAGTTGTAAAGGGTACATGAACATCAATAGCCCACTTTTTGTGATGGCCAACATTAAACTGATTGAATCTTAGCGCAGCACAAAACGTACAACCATTCGGTACAAGGGTCTGAAAATCAGACTATTACTAAATGGATTGCAACCACTCTTAAAAGGAGATTCGACAACTAATGCTCGTTATTTTCAAGCCCTTTCGTTTTAAGGGAAGTTCTAAATTAGTTTTATCTTTCAAATGCCGCGCTGAAATTTAACCTTTTCATTTGTTTGGCCTGTAAATGGGACACAGTACCTTTAAAAGTTAATTGTAATAGTTGCAGATTTATTCAGTGCCATTTTGTATAATTCATGTGCTACTTTAGTTTTATTTCGACACAATAAAATATAGTCGATAATTAGTGCTTTTTTATTTCAATCTAGATTTGTGCGTTCTCTGAATACATATTTGTGTAAACTGAATATTTTTAACTCTATTGTGCTTCATGTGCGATGTTTATATAATAGTAAAACAATTCGAAACCACACACAATGACCTAGACTTTTTCTTTTCGTAATCCGGGTTCGGTTATCGATCATTTAGGAGTGCAGCTGACAGTGTGTCTGAGTAGCTAATAGCTATGTAGTAATGAACTAGGTGGCAGCATCACCAAACACTTAAGATGTGAAGATTTGATCAAGATATACCTCCATCATACAAAATTTGTAAGAAATCCTTCAATAAATGCATTTATTGAAGGATTTCTTACACATGGCAGTAAGAGCATACAAAAAGGACAAATGACCTTTGACCCTATAAAGGATGGAACCATGAGGGCAGCATCACCAAAAAGTAAAGATGTGTAGATTATTCCAAGATACACCTTCGTTCAAAATTTGAACAAAATTGATCCCTTAATAAACGTGGCGTATAGAGCGCCCACAAGAATATGACGCGGCCGCGCGCGGCGTAACGCTGCTGAATATAATATACTGCCGGAGGATACAATTATTATAATAATAATAATAATGATAATGATAATAATAATAAATTGTAATAATAATAATGAAATAATGTTGGTTTCTTTTTGACAGTTTCCTCGCTCCCGCAAGGGAAAGAGGTGTAGGCTTTTATCATTAAATATATGATTACGTATGCATTTCCGGCTCAATTTTGTGTAATTATTTGTTGTTATTCTCTCAATTCTGAATAATTTATCTCTTTTATATTCTCTTACTTCCCTCTGTTTCATTCTCTCTCTTTCCCTCTTTCTCTATTTCCTCTTCTTATAACTTATTCTTTTGTATCATGACTTCTCTTCTCCTTTCTCTATCACTCTCTCTCTCTCTCTCTCTCTCTCGTCCTCTCGCAATTCCTTGCATGTCTCAGCTCGTATACATCATTGTCACGCTGCTGCTAGGTCGAGCAATCCCCTGGTTCGTCCGACCTAGCAGCGACTGTTTTTATGATTGGTACCATGCATCATGTAAAAATCTAGTGTCAAATGTCCAGTTTATCATTTTATCATGTTCAAATGCAGTACCAACCAGGTTTGTTGACGATTTCTGGTGATGACAGCTTTAGTGTTAAGACCAAATGATCGAGCGGTCAGCGGTGAACAAAGAATTTGATTATTTTCTCAAAAGTACTAGATCAACGCTTGAAACGGATGTGGCAGTATAGGTGTAGGATTTAATAGCTCCAAACTGCAATGAACAAAATTATGCTAGGATACTATTTCTGAATTCAACAAGATAAAAAGTGTGAAATATCATTTTAGTCATACAGATTTCCTTTCTCCCACTTTTCTTCAAGAATATGTTGTGAAAACAATCCTATGATTACACTAGCTTTTTCAATATCTAGGTTTGTTACAGTATCTGTAATGCGCGCTTAATTACGCCTGTTTTAGTGCGCTTTTGGATAATCTTCAGTAAAAGTGCGTTGCCCTTTGTAGATAGTACCTCTATCTTCAGTGAAAGTGCGTTGCACTGTGTAGATAGTAGTACTATCTACACAGTGTAAAGAACTTTTTGCTTCTCCCATCAATAATGGGCGATCTATCTTTCATCACGTGATTTACATTTGACCAATCGTAGAGCAAGATTCTTAGTATGTGGAATATAATTCTAATTATATTACTCATTGCGGATATAGTATCTGAAATAATATCTCTAGTGATATTCGAAACACTTCGTCAGGTGATAAAATGTATTGTTAGCAAGCGTGTTCAAACGAATATCACTAGAGATATTATTTCAGATAAGTATTATAGTTATTTGTATTCAGTAATCTGATGTTTTTTCTTTTTACGATCAATAGGTGTCACATGAGGAAAGAGCATACCAAAAAAAAAAAACTGCAGAAATTTTTCATAAGCTGGAACAAATGCCTCCTTGAGGAAAAGAGGCGGACGTGGAATTCAATATCCACTACCAATACATTTTTTACAACTGTTACAATAAAATTTAAAAAATGACAGGTGAGCTGACTTTGCCAGGGACTATTCAAGAAAAAAATACTACTAAGTACATGTATCAAAAATAGACATTGACTGCTTTCCAGTGCACACATAGACATATGATTTCAAATATGATCAGTCAATATTCAATACATGTAGTAAAAGGTATAAAACGGTAAATGGTGCAGGTACGCATGTATTCGCATGCGCATGCCATCTTCGGCCATCCTCTGCACACCCGTACTGAAGCGAACGAAGTAGGAATGTCTACCGACGTCAGCGACTCGCGCGGAATAATGTAGGCCGAACATCTCAGATATTGTTGCGATAAACAAGCAACAAGAACAGGTATAAATAGTGTTAGACCAAGGCGATCTCAAAACGGAAAACAAAAGAATCAATAACATTTTTCCCCCATTTGTAAATACCTGAAACACAGATAAAGGGTGTTTTTAATATTCGAAAACACCCCCCCCCCCCCCCTTTTTGCCAAAGGGGTGTTTGCAGTGGCGGATCTAGGGGGGAGGCTCCCCTGGACCGCAAAACAGGTAATTGTAAACCTTTTTTTTTAGATACAAAAAAGAAGACGGGCCCCCCTACCGCCCCCCCCCCAACCCCCGGCTCGCTGACTCGCCGCTCAAAATTTTTTCACGAATTGGGCCCCTATTCACCCCAAACACACCATACGGGAATCATAACCATATGATAAGTTGTTTATATTTTCCCCGTTTATATGAACCCCATCCACACCTTTTCTTTTGCAAGCTTTGATTTACATTAATTCAGACAGGAAGTGAAGTTGTGGCATCATGGGGAGTGTGCTGACTGCTTTCACTTTGAAACCCTTTCCTTCCAGGAACTTCTTTATGCTGTCCTTGCCCCACATCGCACCTAGAGCCATGGAGCCAGGATGGTTGTTGGACATCGGCAGACAGTAAAACAAGCTGTCGGTGTAAATAAACGAGGCGTTCGGATCTCCAAGGTTATCGGCGTGTTTCGATTCAGCATACAGCTCGATCACCGACATGATTCCATCCTTCTTCATCACTCTCTTGACGTCATCAATGATCAGGTCAGGTCGGGGTGTGTCGTGGAGGAGGTTGAAGAAGAAAACGTAGTCGAAAGTCGAGGTCCAGTCGTTAGGCATCGCAGAGGCGTCGGCGCAGACGTACTCAAGGTTCTTCAGACCAAGCGTGGCTACATCCTTATAGGCCCAATCCACGTTGCACTGGTCAATGTCAAGACCGACGAAATGGCTGTTGGGAAAACTCTGGGCCAGCATTTTCATTGCAGCACCGCGACCGCACCCGACGTCAAGCATCCGAATTCCACTCTCTGAAATTATTGATGATACACATAGGACTATCAACATCGAACATCCAAATTACCTTCTAAAATTCACATTGAAATGAAAGTCAGTGTATAGATACCGCCCTTCGGCGGGTTCGGTACTGTTATGAAAACACATCGGGTTGATTGAAACCCAGAAAATTCAGCTCGTCGTCAAATACGGTCTGACCCCTCCCCCCCCCCCCCCCCCCCCCCCGTATCCACAGGATCAAGCCATAACTCACAATCATAAATCAGCGAGAACAGTTAGGAATGATCCTCTTACCCAATCTTGCCTTGATCTCGGGTTGAGATGGAATGAACTCCTGAAGGAAGTAGTGATTGAACCACGGCAGGCCATAACTATCGTTGAATTCGTGGTAATTTGGCGTCATTGAAAATGTCAAACCTGGAATAAAACATAAAACAAGAAGATGATGAGCGAAAATATCTTTCAAGTACTACATTCTGTCAGCTAGGTACGATCGCAAAGAATTTCAGGAAACCAATTTTCAAACCCCATGTTCGGATTACGTAATATTTCATTGTCGTGTTCGCACATTTGAAAAGATGAGCACTTGAAGTTGAATTTAAGTGGGGTTTCAAAGTATTGATTGCAATCGTGGTCCGTTAACTACCCCTGGGTTGAGAGAGACAGTTGTGTATGAAACACCTTGCTTGTCAAAATATGAACACCTGAAACGTTTTTAAGAACTTAGCTTAACACCAAACAGGCAAATAGACAGTGGATGTTTACGTGTGCCTAGATTTCACAATGATTGTTATAAGTGTAGCCCAATTGTTTCTTCCATATTTGAATGGAATAAGCTAAATAATTCGTTGAGAACGGCTTCCTCTGTCAATTCATTTAAGAGATTGTTTAAACAAAGTTGTAATCTGTGAATATAGCTCAGCCGAACATACACTACATGCATGTTCTGTAATATTAACATGACTTATTCACATAATTGCGACTTAATCAATATTTTCCTATTGACATTACTGTTTACTAGGCTAATGATATATGTGTATTTTGCAAATGAGTATTTTTTTTTTAACTGCTTGTATAAACGTTATAAACGATGTAAATATGTTCATGTTTATGAAGGGCCCCATGGAAGACCACTACTTGTAGGTGAATGGGCTACCCTGTCAAAAGATTAGAAATAAATAAATAAATAAATAAATAAATAAATGGGAAAAAGAATCCAGCACATTATATCGGCACCTGCATGTGGTCATGGTGGTTCACAAGAGTTACTGTTTCCGACACATTGTTATTTTAGTGACCCGACATTTTCTCACGCGGTTTACAGTATCTAAGTGCTACGTCATATTCTCTCATCGTCCAGTTTACTGGTTACAAACAACAGAGCCTGCGCGTGAGGTTCACCGCGAAATCATTGAAGCAACGGGCTGGAGCAGGGCAAATTCAGTGTTTTTTGCTGCTGTTTAGCACAAAATTGTTTCGAGCCAGCTACCTTGACAACTCGGCCAGTATGACGTTACACTTCGGTACTCTATTAATTGTTAGGGAAAGGCGTTATTTCGTCAAATATAACGTTATGGTTAGGTTTGCAATTGTGATTTGGGCTATAGATTTAGGTTTATAGTCGCCGTCGTACAACCCGAAGAAAAATCTGTTACATTATTCATCACCTCTCGGTCCATCTTTCTTGACGACTTCGAGCATCTTGTTGAAAACCTCACTAATAATGGGTATTCCTACGGAGCAGTCAGCCCCCTGACCCGCCATTGTCCCTGATCCATTGTCCCTGATCGAAAGCTGTCGACGCGATGCGTTGGTAGATCGATGGTACCTCTCTGTTACAGGGTCGAGATCGACGATGTAGGCCGTGGTCATCACGCCCAGCCATTCTCGAACATACCTGTCATGAAAGACATTATAGAAAAGGTTATACATTCAAGCCTTGCGTATAACTCCGAATGATATGAGAGAGGAACAGAGAGAGAGAGGGAGAGAGGGGGAGACATACAAGCTGGTGCGCTTGCATTGACCGACTGGCATGTTGGAGCGGTTGCCAAATGTTTATAACGTTTGTTGGAAATTACAAAATCCCAAATTTACCGTCAGGCAAAAAATATGCTTATTTAGGAGCCTTCATGTCAGGGCCTGCAGAACCCGAGTCCCCTTTTACTTTTTTGAAAAAGTATGTTAAAGAGAAGAAAAAAAGAAAGGGAGAAAGAAAAAAAGAGAGAAAGAAAGAATGAGTTACCTGCCAGTGCATTTCGCAAAACTCGCAAATGAGGTATCAAAATAATTATGCTTATCTGACTGTAATTTAATGCCTAAAAACCCTGAGCTTCCGGGGGCTCCGTCCCTGGACCCCACGCCAATTTACGCTCTACCTGATCGTTAATACTCCCAATTTGAAAAGCGTCCCGCGGGGGCTGCATTTAACATGTAAGAGTGATGGTGGCGCAGATTATTCTTCTGCCCCTAAACTTTTTTGCTCATTACGCCACTGCCCCTGAAGGTGAGCCCCCTGGAATGTTTTCCACCCCCAATCCCAAACTGTTTCTGGTGCGCCTGCCGAGGTATGACAATATTAGATCTTCAAGATAACAACGTGTGTAATTGGGTTTTTGCAGAGTGGCGTTAATGTCAATCATTTTATTTACGTCTGGGGACCGACCTTTAACGTCACCATCCGAAAGACGTTATCCAAAAAGAAGTTCATCAACTATGAATGTCTCAAACATCAGATACGAAGAAAAAATCACAACAAGAATAAATCTTCATAAAAAATCTTATCATAAGCATTTTATTGATTTGACATCTGCATTTTGCTACACAGATGTGTGACCGGTGTGTGACAGTCGACTGTTCAAGGCATAGTCCAGCTTTGGAAACGCCCCCCCCCCCCCTCTAAAAAATTAAATGGAAGCTCTTCTTTCCAATCATGTGAAAGAACATGTTTTGACTAATACGTGATGACACAAATTTTGCCGAGAAACCGCCTACTAATTGATATACTTGCTAAATTATCATATCGATCCGGCCTGAATAGATATCGCGAATGCACTTCAACATTAAATATTTGGGCATATATTTCTGTTTTTGTTTTTTTGCGAATTTAGGTTGAAGTATTGCTCTGACAACAATAACTAAACAATATTAAATGGATATTTTGCATCCAAAACCCTGGAACCGCAATTTTACTACTACCGGTCTATATCTTTAACTAGCTTAGCAAATGTTTTCAGGGTGAGATAACACAATCAGTTATTTTTACCCAAATGCACCCCTATTTAAAATGAAAAGAAAGGGGAAAGAAAGAAAAAGAAGAACAACGAGAGAGAAAAGGGATGCCCTTTTCCCCCCTGCCACTACTTTTGTAATAATTGTATGGGTTCCATCAAGTGCATGTTTACCGTCAAATTATATTTTGTTCCATGTTGTAGGACCTTAGTCACACAAGACCAACCGTATACAAGCCTCATGTTTCGTTTTAGAGTCAATATAAAGAAGTAAAGTCCATGCGTTCTACATAAATTGGTCTTTAGACCAGAAAATAAATGTATTCTTTATGATCAGAGTAGTATGTTTATTTAAAATCCTAAATGGTTGGTTATCATAGTATTTACTCTCCATTTGACCTTCCCATCATAAGGCTAAATCATGAAATTTCTTCTTACACCGAGGTTAAACATTAAATAGTATTTTATTTTCAGCAGGGGCGGCAATTCCCGGGGAATTCTAAATATTCGAAAATATTTACAATTCTTCATTATTTTAATTTCAAAGTTTAAGAATATTTTATTCGACTATAATGTGGTCTAGTGTTATTGTTCAAAAATGGAATCTGCTCAGTTGTTACATTCCCTTGCACAATATACTTGAACTTTTAACTCAAAGAAGAACTGTAGGAAATTACGAAAACAGAGATTGTGTATAGCAGATCCATGGTCTTAGAGAGACAAATATAGATTATAGTGGCTCTTTATACAACAAAAATCATGTGATCGATGATTGGGTCTCTTCTAGGAGGGTTGTTGTTGAGTTTATCCATCGATTTCGATGATTTCCGCCAGGCTTGGTGTGAGAGGGCGTCTTGCTTTCTCTTCTATACTCTACTTACGTTTCTTTGATCCTGATTTACCTGCCCGGTGTGTGAGATAAAGACTTACCTTGACCTTGTTTATTGGCGTAGTGCAATGTTATCGAGGATCAATCTATGTGCCCGTTACTCATTTGTTATTTATTTGAAGGTAATACAAAGTTATGGGCAATCATCTCAAATTTGCTGCCTACGTACCAGAGAGTGGTTGTAAGCTCAGACTGGAGCTGAAAAGTGATCTTAAATGCAAGGTCCCAAACTACTAAATATGATATACATATTTAGTTCACAGAGAGCATCTTTCGAATATATTTTAAACAACAATTTTCTTTTTTCGGGGGGGGGGGGGGGAGAAGGGGTATAGCCTTTCTGTTCCCCGAGTCATCAGATATTATTGTTTTTGTGGAGATTCAGACAATAATGGCTCAGCCCCCTCAAGAACAACACAATCACTCATTACCCTAGCTTCGCCACTGCTATGGCATATATGTAAAGGTCACAGACGTTATTATTTTGCCATGGGTTGTTAACAAATATACTTATACTTTTTTTTGTAAATAGCACTGTATTTACCTTGGTACGTATTTACATGTACATACATTATTTTGATTATACACTGCAAACATGGGTAAAGATGAAATGAGACCGAGAGCAATTACATGCACACACAATAGGCCTACATTTTCATTAACTCTTGCCCCAAAAATCGAAATGGAAGATAGCAATTAATGAGGAATTTTTATTTCAGCTACCGTTACAAACCAGGGTCAATGTCGCTATTCATAAGGACCGCTATTCATAAGGTCCACTATTCATAAGGACCGCTATTCATAAGGTCAGCTTTTCATAATTGGAGAAAAGGGTCATTATTCAAAAGGGTCATTATTCGGAAGGACCGCTATTCATAATCAAAGAAGAGGGTCGGTATTCATAATAGGAGAAGAGGGTCGCTATTCATTATACGACATAAGGGTCGCTATTCATAATACGACGTGAGGGTCGCTATTCATAGGGGTCCCTATTCATAATATTACAAAAGGGTCGGTATTCATAATACAGAAAGAGGGTCGCTATTCATAATACGAAATGAGGGTCGCTATTCATAATACGAAATGAGGGTCGCTATTCATAATGGAAAATGAGGGTCGCTATTCATAAGGGTCATTATTCATAAGGGTCATTATTCATAATCAATGAAAAGGGTCGCTATTCATAATAGGAGAAGAGGGTCGCTATTCATAATAGGAGAAGAGGGTCGCTATTCATAATACGACATTAGGGTCGCTATTCATAATAGGAGAAGAGGGTCGCTATTCATAATACGAGAAGAGGGTCGCTATTCATAATAGGAGTAGGGGGTCGCTATTCATAAAAGGAGAAGGGGGTCGGTATTCATAATACGACATGAGGGTCGCTATTCATAATAAGAGAAGAGGGTTGCTATTCATAATAGGAGAAGAGGGTTGCTATTCATAATAGGACATGAGGGTCGCTATTTATAATAGGAGAAGAGGGTCGCTATTCATAATAGGAAATGAGGGTCTCTATTCATAATACGACATGAGGGTCGCTAAATAAGGTTTTATTCATTACTTGTCAACAAGTCCGAAGACTAAAAATGCAAGTTTACATCAAAATAAAAAGCATTCAAAAACATATGTACATATATATAATGATAACATAGCAAATGAGGACAAATATATAACAATGAATACATTTTTAAATCAAAACATTAAAGTAGTAACAACAAAACAAAACAACAAAAAAAGATTTTGAAAAAAAAATAAAATGTATGAAATATTGCGTTTTGAGGTCAACCGTATAACAAACTGGTTCGCCCTGGCCTGATTTAAAAGGGTGAAAATATAGTTGTGTGTTTTAACCTTTACCACAATATTTTTTTTATTTCATTTATCATTTATTCATGGTAGGCCTACAATACAAAATATTGTAAGGACCCACACAAGACAAAATTAAGCTGCACTGCTATATATTTTAATACATCTATAAAATGGCTGCGAGCAGTCCATGAAACAATAATCGGGACTTTTAGATTTGCACGTCGACATAGTGGACTGCTACGTGTGACGTACTTTCAAGGCACAAATGGACATCACACGTAGCCAATTAAGCGCGTAGCCAGGATTTCATTTTAGGGGGCGGTAGTGAGCACGCGAAGCGTGCGAATCACGCTCCCTAGGGGGGTGGGTGCAGGGAGGGGGAGTTTTGACGTTTCATTAAATTATTAGAGAAAGAAGACGATTCGTTTGACCGTTCTCGACTCTTAATCCTTATCTAAATTCAGTTTCTGTTGACGTTTCATTAGAGAAAGAAGACGATTCGTTGTACTGTTCTCGGCTCTTAATTCATGTTTGAATCAAGTTCCCCTTCCTCCGCGCGTAGCGCGGAAGCTCTGACGTTTCATTAGATTATTAAAGAAAGAAGACGATTCGTTGTACCATTCCCGATCGACTTTATATCCTTGTCTGAATTCGGCCCCCCCCCCCTCCCGCGCGAAAGACGTTTCTTAAATTATTAGAGAAAGAAGACGATACGTTTTACCGTTCTCGACTCTAAATCCCTGTTTAAAGTCAGTTTCCCCGCTCCCGCGCGAAGCGCAGAAGCTTTGACGTTTCATAAATTATTAGAGGGAGAAGACGATTCGTTGTACCGTTCTCAACTCTTAATCCTTATCTGAATCCAGTTCCCCCCCCCCCCCCCCCCACACCCGGCGAGGCGCGGAAGCTTTGAGGATTCATTAAATTATTAGAGAAAGAAGACGATTCGTTGTACCGTTCTCGACTCTT